CTCACCAATGTATTAAAACACTTTGAATTTATACTTTGCATGATTATATTTGGTCAACACGAAACATTATTTTTGTAGACCATTTTTTATCAACGCATGGTTATTTTTCCAGACAAGATGGGCCTCGTAATATCTGCTAAAGTTCTTTTGGTCCACATTTTTCTAAAAAAAAATTGAATCCTCTATAAGATCACCCAGGGCGGGGTATCAGCCGAATCCGGTAGTGCTAAATCGCCAGTTGTGAACTTTATCAGGATTTCCATATGAAATATTGATTACTGTTATATAATAAAATATGAAATATTTAATATTTCACTTTTATATCTTTATTTATTAAAATATGTACACATTATATTTAATTTGGGTGGGTATTGCCAAGCAAGTTTATAAAATTATAAACAAATATTTTCGTAAATAACACTGACCATGAAATACGCCTTTGAGAAGTATTACTGATGAATACTTTATATTGTAATTTCTTTCAATTTGAATTAGTTGTATTGCAATGCATTAGTAATAATGTAAATATATATATATACATTCCTTTATTTCATTGTTATACAGTTTGTTACATACTACAATTTATCTATATTGGAAAACGGTTATGGGGATTATTAATTTCAATAAACAATATTCAACTATCCTTTGCAACACCAATAAGATCAAAATGATAATGTTTATTGGTCTTTCAAACTGGAAGCATTATCAGAGCATGGGTCTTATTTTGGAACTCCTGCTAGGATGTTATTCCCAGAATAGCGCCAGTGGTTAAAGAAACATAAAACTTTAATTCTCAACAAGGATGAAAGGATCAGTTACTGAGACAAAGCCCTACTCCCCGCGAAACCCACCAGATACGAAACCGACTTACAGGTCCCATAACATGGAATAATATGATATATGTTACTCAACATGCATAGATTCTAATGATATTTTGGCATAGATTTGAAAACAAACTATTAGTTGATCCAATGTTTGTATTTTTGTAGCGCTTAACACACTATAAATAGTATTTATCATTTCCTGGCACATAGTGGCACAAGTCCTGGCACATAGTGGCACAAGTACTGGCACATAGTGGCACAAGTACTGGCACATAGTGGCACAAGTACTGGCACATAGTGGCACAAGTACTGGCACATAGTGGCACAAGTACTGGCACATAGTGGCACAAGTACTGGCACATAGTGGCACAAGTACTGGCACATAGTGGCACAAGTACTGGCACATACATGTAGTGGCACAAGTACTGGCACATAGTGGCACAAGTACTGGCACATAGTGGCACAAGTACTGGTATATACTATATAGTGGTTACCAGCAACCATCTGTACTCCCGTAGTCATATCAGAATCAATATTACAGACGTAGACAATCACACAGTGATATATTGAAGACTCATGATCTGATCAACTTATTTAATGACCATAGTGACCTTATTAAAATTGCATAACTATTATATATGGAGCACTATTGCAGATAGATATATACATTCAATCAATGCTTTTGATAAATATGACAGTAATCTGCTGGATTTTTTGTTATTTTATTTTCATCAATTGAATAGTTTCGTCATTTTGTGATACATGTACAGGTACTGCAAATATCTAACTAACCAGTTGTGGTGTAACAAATGTTTAAACAAGTCTGCAGATTTGATGGCATACTGTACAACCTGAAATCATCCATACTGAACAGATTACAATGTCTGCAGATTTGATGGCATACTGTACAACCTGAAATCATCCATACTGAACAGATTACAATGTCTAATCATTTGTATAATAGTAACTGTCTCCAATGTCCTCATCAAATTATCCTAATAATACATTCACACTATTTTCTTTATTCCAAATTCTTTCAAAATTTTTCTTATGAATAATCAGATCGTCTTTTCCAGATGCATGTCAATTTGAAAAGTGAACATTGGGAGCTGACAAAAGAATGTAAAAATGAGAGAGAAAAAAGCAACAAATTGCAAAAGTAAAATATCATTTTGGTACCAGGAATATATATATATTTTTTTTTATTCACCTGTTTATCTTGAATTATCTTGTCTCTCCACTGTAGGGTCAACACCATTAGGAATGTACAAAAAGCTGATAGAGTTCTATAAAGGTGGTGATTTGTCTTTCAAGTATGTTAAGACTTTTAACATGGATGAATACGTAGGTAAGTTTGTATGATACTTGTATGATCACTTCTGTATGATACAATGGTGATCACGTTCACCATTGTATCATTGTATTTCTGAAGTCAATGTATTGCTTGTTTTACAATACACAAGTGTATAGTGTTTTGCTGAAATAGCTAGAAAAGATAATAATCCACCATAATAAAAGTGGATTTATGTCTGTCAGTCTGTGTATTGTGAAATACTGCATGAATTTTATTGTTAGAGTGTGTTGTTTACTGATTGTGTTCAATGTGAATGTCTTTCCTTTTCTCATCATGCAATTTACAAAAACAAATCTTTCCAAAATCACACATGTTTATTTATTGATGTGTTATTCCTTTGACTTATGACAAATTAGACCTGATTTTATTAAATATTTTACCCTACATTATGTCTTTGGAGATTGTCATGTCACCAACTCTGTGTAAGTTAAAATAAGGTGGACTTTTGGTTTAACTGAACATTGCTAAGGCCTTTACTTTTGAAAATAAATTTGTGACTAAAAAAAAGTAGCTTACTTGACCGTAACAACACAAGGAATTAGGGAAGTTATGATATCTTCAAAGTGGTATGGATTTGGGGAGTGATAATTAGCTCTTGTCTTGATTCAAGAGAGTGATAGGTGAGTGAAGTGATCATAGGTCAAATTTCAGCAACACAGTACAAGTATTGTGTTATCGGTGATCAGCTTTCAGGTTGAGTTTTACATGCATGGTATATTGAGGTACTGAGATTGGAAGATGGTGTAGAACATGTTGGATGTCAGTAAATAATTGTCCTGTGAATACAAGCTAGAAAAACTAGTTTTACAGTCTCAAGGGAAACAGTATTGAAATGATCATTAAATAATCCTTTCAAAATATTGGTATTTTACTATGGAGATTGTACATACCGGTAGGTTTTATTTGTGGTCAGCTTTATGCATGAATGAAATAAATAGACAAACTGATATTGTTTTTCTGTTATTTGCATAATATTTGTAGGACTACCAAGAGATCATGCTGAGAGCTACCACACTTACATGTGGGACAACTTCTTCAAACATATTGATATTATACCTGAAAATGTCAATCTGTTGGATGGAAATGCTGATGATTTAGTTGCTGAATGTGATAGTTTTGAAGATAGAATCGCTGCTGCAGGTGGAATTGAACTTTTTATAGGAGGTAGGTACTGTTGTATTACCGTACTCAAGCATTCATTATTAAAGGGGAACCGCTCAATCCCTCGGATTGCACCAAGTGTATATGGGTAATTAACTCCACCTCTGTCCACTGAGTAAATGAATGCTTATCTTTCCCCCTGTACCGCTAATCCCACAAAACAACAACTGATATTAACATCCTAAGAACGGATTACAATTTGCTTGTTTAAATATAACATAGCAATTGAATTTCAAACAAATACAGAGCAGTCTTCGTGTGCCATGATTTGAAACATCGCGCTCGGTAATTTATACATCGTCAGAAAAATATGACGCAGAACTAATTCATGTTGATGATGGCCAACAAGAAAAGGCAGCCATCCACCGGATACACACGCCCAGATTGTTGCTAAACGGTCGCGAAGAAAATCCGCCGTCTGTTTCCATTGCGTCGGTCTATTGGCGGTACTGATCTCGTATACAGAATGAAACGAAACTTCCTATGCACATTCTGTATACATACTACTCCTCAAGACTGCTAATATAACAAGTGTGAAAACACGAAGTCATGAACTTCGGTTTTCATATTTCTGTCACAAATCGGTAAACAGAATGTGTATTTACTATTGCCCTCAAATTTCCATATAATATTGACTAATTGGTAGAGGTGACAATACAAATTTTTACTGTTACTGTATATTATAAGTACAGGTTATTACACGGAAATTACCGTGATCATAAAATATTAAAATCATTAGTAAAGAAAAGTTGCCGCAACATCACAGGCTTATCTTGTAACCTGTTTATGACACTCGTGTGGAAAATCAAAATGTATAGCCTTGTCTTCCGTGAAGCCTAGACCGTGTACGTAGTACCTGCTTGTATCTCGTGTGAGATTTGTGATCTGGTGGATGAACGTCAGGTTGACTTTACAGTCAAAATCAAATGAGCGGTGAGGGGGAGAAGAGCGTTCTGTCAAAACAATTTTACCATATACTTAATTTTAAAGACCAATCTGCAGTGTTGTATGTATTATAAAATCGACGTTGTTTCAACTCTGCTTTACAACCAGCAGCAAAGCTGCCTGGGTGACGGTCAAAGTCCGTGCAACAACATCGCCACTGTCAGACATGGATTGTATAAAAAACACTGGACAATGTTTGATAGACACAATGCATGGAGAGATGGGTGATACCTCCAGCGTAAACAAAACCTGATGCGTGTTGAAGGCGTCGTTGTAACATGACGAGAAGTAATGCAGAACCTGGTTGTTCATGCATTTCAAGCATGGCGTATTTACTTCTTGTACTCTGTGATGTGTGCTGTGGAAACATCTGATTTCGCGGTTTTGAGCTGTTGAAGTATTTCGCAAAAAATAAAACAAAGGGTAACACCATACGAAGCAGTCAGGCCAATGTCTTGTTGATATCTGAAACCTGGAACCTCTAATCATGCTCTAACAGAACGGTTATTTCCTGCATGCCTACCAGTATTACATAACTACCATTTGCAGCTCATTGCAGTCTGACACTTATTCACTGTACCCCTTCCTTTTTCCAGACTGTCTAGAAAGTTATACAAAAAGTTTCATCCCTCAGAAAACATAAGTATTTGACAAACGATCAAAGGAAAATGTCCACATAGTAGTAACCAACATCGTTCTGGCGTTCCTAAAAGAAGTTTTAAAAAAACGAACGCTGCATTGCTTAGTAGCAAATAATCACAGTAGCGCAATCCGATCATGCTGCGTTTCACAATTATTAATATTACTTGGTAGTGATTATTCATAAAGTACAAAAAGTAAATTCGTTGAATTGTTCTGAAATGCAAGTACAATTTAGTTTCATAGTAAGCAAATGATTCCGGTCGGATGAAAATGCTCGACACCTGATCAGCCAATCAAAATACTCGATGATGCCAAAATGTTCAAATTACCAACACGGAGAAGATTTGCCGATGTTCCAGCACGATCTTTTACCTCTGGCTTTGGCACGTTTTTTTTTTAAATCAAAATAATAGTTGTTTTCAATGATAAACTGACCATTTGAAGACTAATTTAACATTTTTACGATGATAACAGCTCATTGTCATGGCGAAGCTTTACCCATTCACGCTAACCACAATAAACATCGTACTCTTGAATAGGCGTCAATGACTACGGTAAAATTCGTAAGACATGACATATATCAATGTTCAAGGTTTGTAATAAAACAACAAAACGTGTCTTACCACTATCATAGTGAAAAAATGTAATACATCGAAAATGTACAGAAGATATAGTTCTTGTAATCCCTCATATCGCGAGCAGCTATTTTGATCCACCTGGACATTTCAGTATCCTAGTTACCCTGGGCATGCGCATTCGCATTGTTCTGAGTTGGGAATGCTTATGCGAGAGTGAGATGCAAACGAAATCTTGGTATCATGTCACGCTACTTGCAAACCCCAAGTAATGTACCCAGATGTTACTAATAAATTGTGTATTTTGCTTAAGGTTGTTTTGGTCAACACCAATCTAATCTGTCTTTTCCTAGTTTTATTCTGATCATTCCATTGAATTCATAGCTCCATAGTATGGATTAGTGTGAATTAACGGGAAATTATATTGCAGGTATTGGACCGGATGGTCACATAGCATTCAATGAACCAGGATCTAGTCTGGTGTCCAAAACACGAGTGAAAACATTAGCACAAGACACAATAGAAGCCAATGCAAGATTCTTTAATGGTGATATCAGTAAAGTGCCAACTATGGCATTGACAGTTGGCGTTAAAACGGTAATGGATGCCAGGGAGGTAAGTAATGACGTCCTATGAGTTCCTGTTTTATATACAGTATTGTCAAGAGACAAAATCATATGTACGATAGTTACAGTGTATGAGATGGGTGCTTTTGGTTGTCAGAATTATTACGAAATTTTAATGATTAAACGTTTTTGAAATAATGCTTTAAAATTTATTTCTATGAAAATATTAAGAAAAATTCAATTTTTGCAAATTTTCATGCAGTATTAGAGGGAAAAAAACTTAATAATTATGTGTCACAAAAACTGATTTCCTTTCCACCCCTATGTATTAGGTTGACATGTGTGCAATGTACTTGTAATGACAAGGGTTTCAATACCAATTAGCATAAAAATACATGGTGACTTAGTAAATACATGACATGCTTTGTGATGTATGGCACATGTAAATTGTACAACACATGTACATGTAACAGTATACTCACAATAATAGTAAACTGTATTCTCAGTACTGTGTGGTAAAGAAATAAACAATTTCAAATAAATATTTAAAACACTACAGTTGTAGCATCCATGTTAAAATTTTGTGTAAAAGACACAATAATTAAGTTTCGTATGTCATGTTTGTAGCATGATGTAGTATGATGTATTTTCTATAACTGCACACTTTATAGTATAAAATGGTAATTATTAACTGTTCATTTATTTAATGCGATCACTTCTAATAGAACATGGTGACCATAGTCATAAACTGTGATCTCATAACTTTGTCTGCACGCCTATTTTGCAGGTTATGATTATTATTACTGGCGCACACAAAGCATTTGCATTATACAAAGCCATTGAAGAAGGCGTTAGCCACATGTGGACAGTGTCAGCATTTCAACAACATCCAAAAACAATCTTCATTGCAGATGAAGATGCAACACTGGAGTTAAGGGTCAAGACAGTCAAGTACTTTAAAGGGTTGATGCATGTACACAACAAACTTGTGGAGCCGCTTGAAAGTACACAAGAAAAGAAAAAACAAAAAATGAATTAAATTGACATTGTTTGTTTTAACTCGTAATATATTGAGAGGCTGTTTTAGTCTTACCCCCCTGGTGTGGTTTTATACAGTACCGTATAGTTTAGGGAAGGGTTAGATGTTAGTTGTTGCCATGCCATGCAAACACCAGATGTTGAATTCACTGTGCTCTATTTACATTTCAATAGGAGGCAATTAGTATGTGTGTGAGTTTTGATCTCCAGGGGCGAAATGAATGCTTTGCTCATGGGGGTTAGGGAATATGCAGTAGCAGATCTTCATTTACCTTTTTAATATAAACCTTGGCACTGTCTGTCTTGTTGTATATTTATCTGTGTAACCCTCAATGCAGCATAGTGGTAAATGTATTCAACAAATCTTGTTCATATGAGACCCATATCTGGTGCATGTATGGGGTGACAATCAACACCTGTATGTTACCACCATTACAGTCCAATCAAAATTTGACTTCAGTATCACGAAACCCATGCTATGGGAATATGTCTGGCATGGCGTGTTGGTGCACAAGTTGTCTAGTAACTAATAACATGTTGTGATTTTCGCAATCATAGAAATTGGCTTTGAATACAATAGAAAAACAGCACAAAGTTTATTGTAAAATGATTTGCCATTATTTCTTCTAGGTGTTCTTTAACGTTTAACTATTCAGTCTAGCCATATTAAACTTGAATGGCAGATAGTTAGTATTGAAAACAGAAATTCAGCCTAGATTCTCTAGGGTATCGCAAATGCCCTGACATGTAACTATGCAATCCTGTTATCACTGTTCAAGTCATTGCAGCACAGTGACAAAATAATATTTGCATATTACTCTATGTGGTGACTTGCAGTCAAGTCAAGTCATATATACAAGGCAGAATTTGATACACTGTATCACAATGAAAAACAAGCTGTTCTTTGATTGGTTAGACTGTTAGGTGTCAGGTTTGGTACCCAACCAATGACAACTTTGTAAGTATATGTGCATTGACTTGTGACTCGTA